CGGCATCCGCGGGGGGAACAGGTGCTGCCAGTTGTCGGTGTGGATCTGGCAGTCCGTCATTCATATTCTGCAGATGGGACAAGTGTGGAGGTAAGCATGGTGGGATTATATTTAAGCATCATCTAAACGTGATGCCCTTTATCCAGCACGCATTTTCCAGCCTTTCTCACCTGAGATAACCTGAAAGTTCATGCACGACCCTTCACTGTTTCTGCACAGATGGATCTGTTTAATGTTCCGTGCGCTTCTTTTTTTCCCCACTCTATTTTCACCTCAGATAACCTCAAAGTACACGCACGACTCCTCATTCACCGTTTCTGCACGAAGGGATCTCGTTAATGCTCTGTCCAGCACTTTCCCCCAGCCTTTTTCACCTGAGATAACCCCAAAGTGCATGCACGACCCCTCACTGCAATATTAAACCACAGAGGGATCAGCTTGATGCCCCGTACACCCCCTTTCCCGCTGCTCTCTCACAGTTCTGTTTTATTATAATGATTATTATGTTGTGTGCGTCTGCACTGCATCAGCGCACGGTGCCGACCTGAGCTGACAGACCGCTAGACCTCTTTCAAATTTATAGCAGATATATAAAAAGGAACCCCATATCAGCGGTGCTCTCCTTGCTTTTTTTCACACACGTCTGATTGCGATAAACTTCTCTCTAAGTTTCCCAGATGCAATTATAAGGATGGGGCTGGTGTGAATTGTCGGATGCGTGTAAGGACGTTACTCTACCTCATGAGAAGAGGGAGCAGACTGCCCGCCCGCGTCTCTCCTTCACCCAAACATTGCGCATCCACTGCTTGATCTCTTTCCCCCATTTTTTTTCTGGTGTCTGCGACATTTGATGGGATTTTATACCGGATCGGAGGTGGTCTGGATGCAGCCGGGTGTCTGGCGTGCCAAATTCGGTGGAGATCCAGAAGGTCGGGGGAAGTTTAGGGCTCACGATGGTCCAGCAGGATGGAGGCGCGGGATCAGCAGGTGCTTGTTTGCAACCGCTGCTTTTGCTGCGTATTTTCAATGTGCGTGTGAAGATGTATTTATCTGGCTGACCTTCTTGCAGACAGCCGTTTGGGGGATTTCTCATGATGTTTGGCATGGTATACAGTTTTGTTGCACCTCGATAACATGGCAGGTAATTGCATATTGTAATGCATGATATAATTATTTACTGTCACACAGCAGTTAGGATTGCTCTCGATATGTGTTTGGAGGGTTATATGCAGATTTGCAGCAGTAGTAGGAACCATCTGTAGATACGCTTTACACATCGGTTAAACATTATGACTAAGTTGGACAGGATTCAGTCACCAGCAGGCCACTCTGCTCTTTATTTTAAGCCAATTTTAATCTCTCGGATTCTTTTCCTGTCTTTTCTGAAATGAGACAAAAAGAGATTTAGCGGCTGTTTTATACTGCGATGTGTTGCCATCTGTCGGGATCGGGACCATGTGTTTGTCACTCGTATCAGTGGCTTGAAAAATACCTAATGCCATCAGCTTGTCGCCCCAGCAACTAATTACTACGTCAAATGAGAGAGGGAGGGTGGATATTTTAGTGCCGGGTGCGGGCGGAAGTGTCCGGTCTTATGATGGGGGGCTACCCGGCCCAGGACCCGGCGTAAGATCAGCTTCAGATCGTGCCGCCCCCGCTAGACCCTGAGCAAACTGAGGGGAGCAGCTATAGCCTATTACCCGGACGGCGAAGGGGAGTAGCTGGAGAGATCATTAGCTGGCATACCTGTTTGTTTAGCTAACTAAATTAATCATGTCCCCGGGTGATTGCTGTTTCACTGCTAAATGTTAAATCGACGAGTTCTTACTAAAATGATAAATAATAACTTAAGAGTCCGGCCCTAACTGAAGCTGATCTTGTGCCGGGTCAGCCCCCGTTAAAAGACCCGGCACTTCCGCCCACCCGCGACTCGGGAAGATCCAACTCCAGCTGGCATGTGATGAACTCAGTAATTCGCTAATTTATTAACCTGAGGCGCTGCATCTTTCCCTTTGGAACCTTTTATATTATTGTAGATTGATTTGAAACACGTGGTTGTGCATCTAAAAAGAAAACAAAAATGTGGAATAACGTCTAGGGCTATATTGCGGTGTCACAGAAAAATACAGTAGGCTTACTTCGATTTCCCTCACACGAGTCTGTTAAATAATATACAAGGGGATGTAAGGATTTTTTTGCGGACAAAACAGAGGAAGTGGAGAAGTGGAGACATCTGTGCCATTGACAGAGACATCGCTGCTGACAGGCCAGCCCGGCACCCTGCGGAGAGATCATCGCCGCTCCTCCAGTCCAGCTCGGCGCAGACCCTGGCTTCCTCTCCCCGGCTTACTTTCCCTGCATCCTAAAAGAGACGGGGCTTACATCCGCCCATAGGGACATTCAGACGGGTTTTCGGTGGAAGTTTAACTCAGCCTTCATGTCAAATAGTATGTGTGCAAGAATAGCAAACACACACACACAAAAAAAAATAACAAATGGAAAAAAACTGCCTCACAGTTGGCCAAAATGTATTTGATATTGTCGCGCTTGTAGTAAATCACCGAATAGCGTTTAATGGGATTCGTATGGGAAGGAGCTTGTCTATTAGCCTTTAAGTGGATTTCCATAATGAGCTGGCTATGAACGAGCACCTTTATTTGTTGCTAGGCCTTTTCAGTGACCCTGCTCCTTCTTTATTTTATGTTGATTGCCTGTAGTTTTAGTGGCATTCGTGGGTAACATTAATTCGTCTGACTTTTGGCTAAAAGCAGCAAACGGGCTTAAGCGGAGTCTCCCCGTGGAGACTCCCAGCTGACGTCACTTTGGGCACCTTTATCCCCGCCACGTCTTCCGAAGGGAAGATGAACAGGTAAACCCGCATTAGCCAAACTACTGTCAGCGGCGGCGCAAGCTCACGCCAGATTTGCTTCATGTAAAGACCCCCCTGCTCCCCCATTCATAAACCTCGATCAGGTCTCCAGTTCCCCTTTTTAGAGAGGCCGTGTCTAGTTCGCCTGGGCCTCTGACGGGATCTGCAGATGTCGTCCCGGTTTGAAGGTTGGGAGCTGTCCGGTGCTGAAGTATATAAACTCATAAACTAAAGCCTACTGCCTTTGTGTGAATGGCTTCGTAATGGATAGCTGCGTTAACATGAATGAATTAATTAATTCATTATTAATTCGTTAAGTTTGTGAATTTATGAATTTTGTAGAGTGGGAAAATTGGAGGGGCGGCATGGTGGTGCAGTGGTTAGCACTGTTGCCTCACACCTCTGGGACCTGGGTTCGAGTCTCCGCTTGGGCCATATGTGTGTGGAGTTTGCATGTTCTCCCCATGGGGTTTCCTCCAGTTTCCCCCCCCCACAGTCCAAAGACTTGCTGAGGCTAATTGGAGTTGCTAAATTGCCACATAGGTGTGCATGTGTGAGTGAATGGTGTGTGAGTGTGCCCTGCAATGGGCTGGCCCCCCATCCAGGGTTGTTCCCTGCCTCATGCCCATTGCTTCTGGGATAGGCTCTGGATCCCCCCACAACCCAGTAGGATAAGCAGGTTGGATGGATGGATGGGATAGTTGGAAAACTTACAGTTAAATGCATTTATTTTCCATTCCCATACGTGTCTTACCTGTAATATGAAGGCAACCGACAGAGGAAATACAAAGGCTGAAAGAGCATAGATATCAGTGTGCTTTGAAGAATTTATATATAATTATAAATATTTACGATATATGTACACTCTGCAGCTACTTAGGTGTATGTACACTCTGCAGCTACTTAGGTGTATGTACACTGGAACCCCCAGAACCGCTACAAGGGCAGACAAGTTGCACGTTCAGGGAAGCCTCTCTGCACATTTCTGTACTGAGCTATGATTTTTCTCCCTGATACCATTAATGGGTCTGACCTCTCTCATCACCAAGGTGTTTTCAGCCACAGAGCTGTCCCTGATTGGATGTTTTTTTTTGTGCCATTATCTATAAGCCGTGTGTGATAATCCCGGTTAAATGGCTGTTTCAGAGAAGCAGGAAGCACCACGTTTCAGGCTGCTTCTTAGCCAGCGTGTTGCTTAGCCAGTCTCCTCACCCCGTCTGTGCTGTTTGTATCCGGCCCCGGACACATAATCACATGATTCGCTGTTTGTGGGAGCGACCTGTTTGCATTGGCAAGCAGGCATTCCTAAAAAACTGGCCGCCAAGTGTATGTATAATCATATATACCGTGGGGGATGAGGCACATGTTCGCAAGATGTGTAATTAAATGTCTGAATATCATTTAATGCATTTTTATTTTTTATTAGGCATAATACCAAGCTGGTGCTTTGAAGAGGCTTTGTTTGTGGCATAGACAGGATTTCTTAAGTGCGTGTTTGTATTTCATGCCTATGTGTCCTCCCTTTGTTTGGATGTTGAAAGGCTCAGGGGGCCAGCAGGTCTTCACACACTATTAATTTGCACGCAGGCATTAATAGAGAGTGGTATCCCTTTCACAACACTGCAGGAAAGGCACTAATTATCACACAAAGAGCCCTGTCACTGCCAGGGAGGTAGCCGCTTCGGCTGGGAACAGACGTTTTGGTTAAAAGCAAGCCGTAAGCACTCTTCCTGATGGCAGTGCATCGGGTCAGGCCTCGCGGGATGATCTGGCACCCGGGCCAGCGCTTCACAGACTCCGTCAGATTGTTCGCCCTGAAATAGCTCCTGCCTGCCGACAGATCTGGAAAACTCCGTCCGAGGCTTCTTAGAAGGCCTCTACGGCCTGAAGATGGCCGTCTCCTTCTTCTGAACTTGAGGGAAGTTGCGGCCGATAAACCCTGAGATGTGAGGTCCCCCCCCCCACCCTAAGGGAGTGGTGCTTTCTCCTTTGAGCGGTGACCCCCTCCCCGGGCTGCATTTTTATCTCCCCCCACGCACCGCTTACAGTCATCACACGCCCCCATCGCATATAGCTGCACTTGACCTCCATTCCTGCCCAGAATCTGGGGCATTCGCTTGGCTTCTCCATTATCACCATTAGCTTCATCTCCTGCTCCCCGTTTTGCTGGGTGTTCTCTGACAGAGAGGGAACACGGGTTGGTGGACCTGCCTCCCCTCCC